GGACACCCCATCCCTTTTGTACCTTCCCCAAAAAAGTGTTTTGGTCTCCCCGGGTTTGGGCATTTTTCCTAAGATGTGCCCCTTTAAATATGATAACCCTATATTTGCCCCAAAATATGCATTATTCTGAGGCAGTTTTTACGAAAGTACTTAACCTTACTCTAGAAAAAGGGCAGTGGAAAAAAAGTACACTTCCAGTCCCGACTAGGGGGGCATTGGTGTCCCCAAGTCATCAACGATTGCGTTACCTTTATATATCTATATAAATATCATATCTATTTATATCTAATATCTATATCTATATATAAATATAAATTATATATATATATTATATTTATAAATTATTAAAAAAATAAAATAATATATATAAATTTTTATATATTGTATTCATGTTTTTGGGTTTTTTTTTGTAAATGTATTTTTTTTATTAATAAATGTTCACATAATATAAAAAAAAAAGGGGGGGGTAGGAGAAGAAAATTTCAAAAAAAGCTCCGGGGGGAACCTTGAGTTTTTCCCCGAGGTACTTTATTTTCTTCTCTGAGGATGGGGGTCCCCATTCCAGCCATAAAGGTGGTACTTCCCTATATATTTATATATATCTATTATCCTTTTTTATAATTTATATATAAAATATAAAATATTATATATAAATATATATAAATAAATATATTAAATTTAAATTTAGGTATACACAAATAAAAGGGTTTCCCTAATTATCATACATAGCACATATGTGTTTGAGAACTTTTGAATAACGCAAAAAAGTCAGTGATTTAAATTCCCCGAATAGCGAACAAAAAAAAAAAGGCAAGTTTGTTCACGGAAAACAAAAAAGGAAAAAATCACTTAATTTTTCCATTATAAATTTTGGTTAAAAAAAAAAAAAGGCCAATATTTTTCCACGAATCGCAAAAAAAAAAATAATCTGAAAGCATTTCCCTTAAACCCAAAATGCAAAAAAAACCTTTTTAAATTAAATCCCTCCAAATATTATGTACAGAGAAGAAGGGGAGATTTAGAACAACCCTCCTTCTTCCCCTCCATTACCCAAAAAAAAAACACAAAATTTTGGAATTTAAAAAAAATTTTTATTGTATTAAATACAAGTTCCCAGAAAAATAAAAAAAATATGTATTTAGCAATAAAACCCAGGGGACCAAAACTTTCGTCTGTACAGAATAATTATCGCATATAACAAAAAAAAAAAAAAAAGCCCCTTTTAATTTTCTATATTCACGAAGCTTTAGTCTATTATAAGACAAAAACCCCCCATTTTCATTTCATAATTTCATAACGTTTAAAAAAAAAAAAAAAAGAACAACAAAAATAACTATAATGCCTGTGGTTGCCAATTGAATTTTTCTTCAATTTTTTTAAACAAAACAAAATTTTACCCTTTCCTTTTTTTGGAACCCAAATCCCTTTAGAACATAACAGGGATTTTTTATAATAATTTTTTCGTGTAGTTAATAATGGCAGTAGTGGGGGTGTGTGAGGAACCCGGTGTGAGGCACAGGGGCTCCGGGAATTTTACTGCTCACAAAAACAACTCCCTGATAATCTTAACCCGTGAGGGATTAAGCTTCCCTTAGGGTAAAAATTTAAAATTTGTTGTATTTTGTGGGAGGGTCGAAACTAGTTTCCCGATAATTTTTTATTGTAACTCTTTTAAAATTAAAAATCGTTTAAATTTACTTCGGTGGAAGAAATTTGGGGCTTATTTTCCCAAAAATATGTACTATGATTTTTTTTATTTGGATTATTCATCAGGGGTACGAACCCCTAACTTTATATATTGTGGGTTAAAATTATTGGTTCGACTTAATTTTTCACATTAAATCTAGAAAAGGTTTAATTATGACGAAACTGAAAAAATAGAAATTGGAACCTGGGTTTAGTGGGTGGGGTGGGTCGCAACCCGGGGGGCAAGTTTTAAGGGGCCCCCAAAGGGAAAAAAAGTTTTGACAGTCCTCGAAGACGAACTGACTTTCTTGGGTTATCCTTGGGGGGTAACCCCCGGGGTTAAAAATCCGAACCCAAATTTATCTTATCTTTTTCTTTTTCTTAAAAACTTGGAGATGGAATTATTTTTTTTTTTTATTTGTTACCCGGACAGAAATCTTTCCAAAACATTTATTTTTTAATAACCCTCCATGCAAACCAAATTTTACGGGGAAAATAGTTTTTTTATTGGGGGAAACATTTGTGATAAAAACAACCTAACCCCAGCCTTTCGTTAAAAAATATCATGTTTAAAATGGGTAACATTAGGTTTGGTTTATAAACAAAAGGGAAAAGGGTTTAAAATTTTGAAAATTTTCATAATTAAAAACACCCCTTTCCCTTTATCCCCCCCCCCCCCCAGGCCCTAAATTCCTCTCAAATTTCGAGTCCATAAAAGGGCAAAAAAACTCCTCTTTGAAAAAAAAGTTCCCTTTTTTTCTTTTTTTTTGGGTAATTTCCCAGGTTAAACTACACTATGCTGCTATGTTTTGATAATTTATGTAATTTTTATTTATGTTTACCTGTTCCCGAATAAACTTAGTTAAAAATTTTCAAATACAGATCCTTACACAACATAGGGAACACTGACCTAAAAATATCAATATTTTTTAAAAGAAAAACCCCACCAGTTAACGAAAAAATTTACTGTATTTGAAAATAAACCAAACCTCGACTTAAATCCTACAAAAAAAAAACCCAAATTAAAAAAAAAAAATAAAAAAGAAAAGCCTTTAAAAATGCACTTGATGGCAAAAAAAAAATTTTTTTTTCGAAAACCAAACCTTTTCAGAGAAACTTAAAAAAAAAAAAAAGTAGGTAAAAATACCAAAAATTTTCTTATATGTTTAAAGACATTTTACTGTTCCCCCCTGTTTCAAAACCTATCTATATGCAAAGGATTAAATTTTTATTTAATCAAAAAGAAGGCCAAAACCACAAAAGCTTACAGCCCCCTGTTTCATGGGGATCAAAAAGTAAACCCAAGAACCCCCAATGGGAAAAAAGTCCAAAATTGCAAAAAACTTCTTTGGGGTTTTCCTAGGGTAAATTTTTTTCCAAAATTTAATCCTTTAATAACAATTGGGGAATTTTAAAATTATGAAAGGGCCTGAAATAAACCCTTTTTTAACCTTTTCTAACTAATTACAATATCAATTTAAGGTTTAGGCTGCAAAGCACATTATGATAAATTTTGAAAACACGGGGCAAATCTTGGGGAACTTTATTAGGAAAAGTTTCGCCCCACAGTGGGCTTCATCATTTAAAGTAGGAAAAAAACTTGAAAAAACATTGAACAAAAGTGACACCACCTATGACTGCTGCAAACCCTCCGCCATAAGGGTTATAAATGCTCTTCCCCCATATTCCCTAATTTTATTTTAAGATTGATGGATGAGCACAAACGACTCAAGATTGAGGGGCTGAATTTCCTTATTTCCTCCTGTTCTTCAAGTTTCTCCTTCCTATGGACTGATGAAGCCACTGTGTGGGAAAACATTTCCCCAAAAAAGATACCCAAGAGTTGCACGGTGTCTAAAATTTTTCAACACGGGCCCTTTTTCTGAACCATTTATCTACAAACTTTTCACCTTATATTGCTGAATTTTATTCTGTTTGGGTTTTTACAAACTCAGGGTAAACTGGGATATTTGACCCCGGGCCTAAGACCTTCCTCGAGAGTAATGAAAAAAAACGACAAACACTAAAAATAGAAATTCATGCCTTTTTTTTATGAGTACAAATTTAAAAATTTTAAAAAAAACTAAAAAACTTTAAAAAACTCCCAGACAATTGAAATTGTACAGTACTTGGCAATTAAAAAAAGAAAACCCAGGGGCAAAAAAATCAAGTTTTCAAAATTTTTTCAAATTGTAATTTTTGTTTTACTTTAAAAAAAACAGTATTTCCAAAAATTTTATCGATTTTTTAACTTTTCTTTTGAAAATTTAAGTTTTTTTTTAAACTGAAAGTAATTGGAATATAATGAACTGTTTAACATTAAAAAAACTATTTTGCAAAAACTAGCCAAACACAAATTTTTTTTTTTAATTTTTTTATTAATAATTTCTATTTTCAAGGGAATCCCTTTGGGTTCTTTTTGGGGGGTTTTAAATGTATATTTTTTTTTTTTCTTTTATTATTTTAAAAAAGGGTTTTAATATAAATAAAAAAACTTGCATAAACGGGCACAGTTGTTTTTTATTTTAATATTGTTCATTTTAACTTTTCTCATTCATTTCTAAAACATTGTCTTGTTTTAAAAATCATCACCCCATATGTTGTGTTCTTTGCAGAAAGACGCTAATGTATTTTTTTGTATTTATTTTTTTATCACCCCAAAAAAATTTTTTTGTATGGGTTTTTTTTATATTTAGTTTTATTAAGAAATTTCAAAAAAAAAGTTTTTAAAATTTTTAATATTACTTTTTTGTTTTTATTTCTATTGCAAAGTTATGGTTTTCCAAGATTAAGGAAAAACTTCACAGTACTATCAGGTTTTTAAAATTTTTAGTGTAAAAGGGGAGGGGTTTTGCCTGTACAGTGTGTTTAGTCGAAGTGAAAACCCTATTTTTTTGTTTTGTAAAAATTTTTTGCTTTTCATATACTGTAAGCACTTAACAACTAAATTTTTCTTTCATGTCCAAGTTTAAACCTGAAAGATTTTTTCCTTTTTTTTGCGGATGCCATTCAAATTTTTTTTTCCTTAAAATAAAAAAACCTTTAACCAATTTTTAAATTTGGGTTTGAGAAAAATTTTAGTTTTTTAGACGGTGGGATTTTCCCAAGGGTTTAAACCTTTAATAATTTATTAAAAAAATTGCACCCCAAAAATTTCCATTTTGAACAAAATTTAAAAAACAGTACATACTTGAGACAAGCAAGGATTCTGTCCCCAAAATAAATGTGTATATTGTGGACTTTTTTACAATATTACATGTATGTATCTTTGAAAACAATGTATTTTTTTTTTTTTAATTTTGACTGCATTAGGCTTTATAGGTTTTATTGTATTATGCTTTTATTTTGTTTACTTTATAATAAAACTGTTGCAGCTAGATAAAACAAGCAAATCCAATATTGTTAAATTTATAACAAAAGTACTGTAACACTATACAGAATCTCTTCATCTTACCTAAATTCCTTATTGAGAAAACATTACAGTAGAACATCCATAATCCAAAATTATTAGGACCAAGACATGTCTGGACTTGTGTTCATTCTGGACAAGTGATCATAACCAATACTCTACACAAAATGTGTCACATTTCCTTCTGAGCTATGAAACTTCTTTACTGACAAAATTAAGCACTTTTGGATAAGCCCTCACTCATGTATAGTTTGTTATCAGTTTACTTTTTTTTATCTTGTCTTTTATTATTAATGAGAAAAATAAAAAACTGGGTTCTTGGTCTTCAGTGTCTTGTAGCAGGTGTAATAGACAAATGTTATGCCAAGCATTTTTCATTGTGGCCTGTTTAACACTGTACTGTGTAGGAGTAAGTTTGCAAAACAGTCTTTAGTTATAAATTCCTGACAAATTATGCAAATGCTTTGATTTTTTTGGACAACTGAACATACTAAGTTCGGTATCTCTCTTTCTGTACAACCAATTTATTCTGAGCAGTTGATCGCTGGATTACGTGTGCTCTACTGTATGTCCTCTTATTTTGCCATTACGTACATTTGCACAGTATCTCATAACTCGGTGATCCTTGTGTGTCCTTTGTAATTATATTTGTTATGAATAACTGATAATAGCAAAGTTTTCTCACTGCTGTATGTGATGACTATATTATTACCCCATTTTCTCTTTTCATTGGATGGAGAGGTACAGCACTTTTGCATCCAAGACCGTAGGAGGCCCATCAGGAAGACATTGTGCTTCATTCATGCCATATGCTCACCTTTTAGGCTCCCTCATCTTATGCTCAGTAGAGGGCACCTTGGCCACAGTTCTTCTTACAGAGCTGCAGCAGAATGCATAGATGCAATACAAGAAACAAATACTTCTTCGATGTGCCATGTGTTCATCTCGACCCAAGCAAAGCTCAGTCCACATAAAAGGTCCCAAAATTTGGAGCCCCCTTTACTAGATGATAAATGTTCCCCATCTTCCAATGGATTCAAAATATTACTAAAAAGCACCTTCTGAACTTGATGTGATTTATGATAATTAAATACATAAAAGCCAAATACATTTTTTGCAACCTGCATATCCAGCTTCCATCTAGCATTCATTCTTATGCACTGCCTGCCTGTATATTTCCACTCCCCAAAATTTTCTTTTTTGGCATCACTGTCCCTTCTTTTTGATTAATGCTTTAATAATCAGAGGTGTACTTTATAATCTTATCTGCAGACAACTTACTTATACAGCCTCTCCTCACTTAATGACACAGTTCTGTTCTTAAGACCATGTTGGTTAACGAATTCATCGCTAAGCAAGGAGCATACTGTAATAGTAGTGGGTAGTGATATTGTTTTAATGTCACCTATGCATCATTTATAACAGTTTTAGTATATTTTTAAATGCTTATACAGTAGTGTACTGTATATTGTTATAACAAAATACATAAAGGAAATCAGCTCTAATATACGTACATTATTTAGGTATGCATATTGGCCAAAGAGCCCGTTGTAAGTCGGAGTCATTGATAAACAAGTATGTCACTAAGTAATCATAATATCTTTATTTCTACAAATACATGTACAGGGTATACAGGCCTAGCTGACATCAATGACATACTACAATAAAAAGCCGCTTGTTATGCAGAGCATTTTCAGGCAGATTAGGTCAGTTTTGTCTCAGGATGCGACCCACACCAGTCGACTAACTCCCAGGTACCCATTTTACTGATGGGGAACATGGATAACTGGTGTAAGGAAACACGCCCAGTGTTTCCACCCCTTAGCCAGAAATCGAACCCGAACCCTCGCTGTGTGAAGCGAGAGCTATAACCAGGCCACGGGGCACCGTGAGGAGAGGCTGCATTAACGTTTAAATAATCTAACTTACTACTGGTATTGTCAAGATAGTATTAAAGTTTAGTCTGTCTGAAATGTATTGCATAATTATGGTCTTTTCCATGTATTACAACCATGCTAATCTTTGTAATACAGTTGCATCCTCATGGAAGATAACCAACCCCTAGTATTATTGTATTCTGTGCACTATTATAACAGTACTGTACTGTTGTGAGGAATTTTTTTATGTTAAATAGCTAATTCTGTTTAACCCTTTCAGGGTTTCGGCCGTACTAGTACGGCTTACGCACCAGGGTTTTTGACGTACGGTGGACCCCCGGTATTCGATATTAATCCGTTCCTGAGAGCTCATCTAATACGGAAAATATCGAAAAGCGAATCAATTTTCCCCATGAGAAATAATGGAAATCAAATTAATCCGTGCAAGACACCCAAAAGTATGAAAAAAAAAAATTTACCACATGAAATATTAAGTTTAATGCAATAGAATAATTACAATAACAACAATACCAATAGAATAATAACAATAGAATAATTGACACTTACCTTTAATGAAGATCTGGTGATGATTGATGAGATGGGAGGAGGGGAGAGTGTCGAAGTTGTTACTGTTTAGAAGGGGAATCCCCTTCCATAAGGACTTGAGGTAGCAAGTCCTTTTCCGGGGTTACTTCCCTGCTTCTTTTAATGCCACTAGGACCAGCTTGAGAGTCACTGGACCTCTGTTTCACAACAAATCTGTCCATAGAGCTCTGTATCTCCCGTTCCTTTAAGATTTGTCTAAAATGGGCCACAACGTTGTCATTGTAATAGTCACCAGCAAGGCTTGCAATAGCTGTGTTAGGGTGATTATCATCCATAAACGTTTGCAGTTCAACCCACTTTGCACACATTTCCTTAATTTTTGAAGTAGGCACAATGGATTCCACAACTGGCATAGGCTTCTCAGGGTTAGCCCCAAACCCTTCAAAATCTTTCTTAATTTCCATACTAATTCTCACCCTTTATACCACAGGGTTGGCACTAGAAGCTTTCTTGGGGCCCATGGTGACTTATTTTGCAGAAACAAGCACCAAAAAACAGTGATAATATGGAATGTACCGAATGTATCCTTAGATGCTCGCACACTGCCTGGCTTGTAAACACTGGCACACACGGGGCAGTTCAGGCCACATGTGGACACAGTCTCGTACGAATCGCATCGAATACTGGGTTTTCGATCGGATACCGAGGGGAAATTTTTGCATTAAAATGCATCGAATACCGGATTTATCGGATACCGATGCCATCAAATACCAGGGGTCCACTGTACTAGTACACCTAAATTCTAGCACCCTCAAATCTAGTGAGAGAAAGCTGGTAGCCCTACATATGAAAGAATGGGTCTATGTGGTCAGTGTGCGCAGTATAAAAAAAAATCCTGCAGCACACAGTGCGTAATGAGAAAAAAAACTTTGACCGTGTTTTTGGATTAAAACAGCGACTTTGCACTGTATTTTTGTATGGTATTTATTGTTGTATTCTAGTTTTCCTGGTTTCATTTTATAGAATGGAAGACATATTACAGAAATTAAGATGATTTTGACTGGTTTTACAATGAAAAGTCTTTGAAATTGAGCTCAAAGTAGCAGAAATGTTCGATTTTTACCAAAGATCAAAAGTAAACAAATCATGCCAAGCGTCCAATACACGTCAGCTGGTGAGTCTAATATTATTTATACCATTTCTTCACTAACGCAGTAGTATGCATAACAGTAAATCTAATATTTTTTTTTGTGAGAATAAAAATTCAAAAGTGGAAAGCAAAAGAATGTAAGAGGGGCATGGGGACGTGACTAATGAACAGAGGAAATGTTATTTTAGTGCCAGGAATGTCTTTCTTGTTTATTCTGGACTCTATTCGGAAATTGGCATCTTTTGAAATTTGTGTGAAATTGGTAAAATTGCTAAATTCTGACCACTGTATTGGATAGTTGAAATCGGTAAATGGGTGGTTTCTTGTACTCATCGATAGAAAAATTGGAGTTCAAGCGAAATAGTTATGATTTTTGTCGACTAGTACAGTGGAATTGGCCGAAAATAGGGCTCAAAGTGGGCAAAATCGCCTATGCGTAAACATCGTCGAGACCGCTAACTTCGCGAAAGCATAATTCCGTAAGTTTTCCATCAAATTTCATACTTTTGGTGTCATTATGATCGGGAAAAGATTCTCTATCTTTTCACAAGAAAATTTTTTTTTTTTTTTTAAATTTGGACGACCCTGAAAACAAGTCTCGGAGAGGGCCTGTCGACCCTGAAAGGGTTAAAGAAAATGTTAGTAATAAAGCTGGCATCAGAATTCATTAAATTTGCCAGGCATTTACTGACTTCATCATTTTATTTGTATTCATAATGTACCATACATGTAAATGGAACTGCATTTTAAATTTAAAATATTGCAGTCTTTGTTTTTAAGGAATTGATCATTTATAGAAAGGGTTAATGATAACTGGGTAATGAAAATACTGTATACCCTTACTGTAATGATTAGATTCATTAGAAACTGTAAGTTTTCCTTGTTTGAAGTATTTTCCTTTTTAATATTTATCACATTTTAATTGTCCAAAATCTCATTAATGATTATTTGTTTTAGAGATGAAATAATCTCATTCTCACACATTTTAGTCTTGCCTGTAGTTGAATTTCCATCCTCTCTCCACAAATAACTAACTTGTTGTAGGTATAGTAAATGTACAGTCAAGCAAACTTTATAAAAGACAGGTGTTTTTCTCCTGGCTACTGTTTGAATTTATGTTTGCATGTTACGTACATAGTTTTAATTTTGTTTAAAACCTACTGTGTATATTCAGTAGGTTAATCATCGGCAGAGTAGTGACATCTGTAATCAAGATTGTATCTCTTAAATTAATAAAAATTTCAATGCTTTCATATTTTTTCAGTTCTGTTACATGCAGAGAACCCATAAGACGCACGGTAATGGGCAATTCTGATACCACGGGTACCCAGATTGTTGGTATGTATCCTGTCAGCCTGCATAACACTTGCATATACATCCTGTATTATACTTAAATACTCTCCAGTTTCTAAATGCTGTAAAAGTTTTTGGTAATTATAACACTTTTATTATGTTTGTTTCTCTTTAGATACGCAGACAGAAGACCAAAATAAGCAAGTGGTTCTACCATCGATATGGGAGAACATAGCAACTTGGGGTACCTACTACTTGCATATTACTCCAGCAGTAAAAATAGGGTATTACTTCTTCACCCTTCTTATGTTGTCCATGGTTAAAGAGTCTTTTGATGTGCCACATATTGAAGTGCTGACTGGCAAACATAGTGTTCTAAATGAGGTGAGTGGAAATACTGTTTTAATTATTGCAAGGTGGTTAAATGGCTTGCAAATAAAAATACTTGCAAGCATGTAGAATGCACACATGCACAGTGTCCAAAACATTATTAAATGCTTATACAGTGAACCCCCGCTTAACGATCACCTCCAAATGCGACCAATTATGTAAGTGTATTTATGTAAGTGCGTTTGTACGTGTATGTTTGGGGGTCTGAAATGGACTAATCTACTTCACAATATTCCTTATGGGAAAAAATTCGGTCAGTACTGGCACCTGAACATACTACTGGAACGAAAAAAGTTCGTTAACCGGGGGTCCACTGTATTTTACAATTATATTTGGTATGTGATGGTCAGCTTGACCACTACCTATGAGAGAATTTCATCACTGGTATAAGTTTGCTGAAGGCAAGTCTTCTTTTTTTTTATATATGTATATAATTTTCCAACCCTTTCGAGGACGACCCCTACCCCTCTTTCCTTCCCCTATAGATTTATATGCTTTCCATGTCATTCTACTTTGATCCATTCTCTCTAAATGACCAAACCACCTCAACAACCCCTCTTCTGCCCCCCAAAGCATTAGTCAGAGGGCAGAAGAGGGGTTGTTGAGGTAGTTTGGTCATTTAGAGAGAATGGATCAAAGTAGAATGACATGGAAAGCATTATAAATCTATAGGGGAAGAAAAAGAGGAGTAGGGGTCGTCCTCGAAAGGGTTGGAAAGAGGGGGTAAAGGAGGTTTTGTGGGCGAGGGGCTTGGACTTCCAGCAAGCGTGCGTGAGCGTGTTAGATAGGAGTGAATGGAGACGAATGATACTTGGGACCTGACGATCTGTTGGAGTGTGAGCAGGGTAATATTTAGTGAAGGGATTCAGGGAAACCGGTTATTTTCATATAGTCGGACTTGAGTCCTGGAAATGGGAAGTACAATGCCTGCACTTTAAAGGAGTGGTTTGGGATATTGGCAGTTTGGAGGGATATGTTGTGTATCTTTATACGTATATGCTTCTAAACTGTTGTATTCTGAGCACCTCTGCAAAAGCAGTGATAATGTGTGAGTTTGGTGAAAGTGTTGAATGATGATGAAAGTATTTTCTTTTTGGGGATTTTCTTTCTTTTTTGGGTCACCCTGCCTCGGTGGGAGACGGCCGACTTGTTGAAAAAAAAAAAAAAAAAAAAAAAAATTTTCTTTGTAAGACAGTGGTGAATGCTTCACTTAATAGTAAGGATGGAGCAATACCAAAACTTATCAATACTGATACTTGATTTTAGGTGAATATCAATACCATCAAAATGAGCAGATACCCATCAATACTATTACCATCAAAATTAGCAGATATCCACCGATACTTTGGCACACACCTACTAAATATCAAAACCAGTGTTAAATTTTTGCGGATTTTTCAAATTGTGCTTCTTTGAGTCAAAAACCTGATTACATTTAAAATGTCTTTGTGAAAGTCTACATTTTGCCTCCCTCTTCAGAATGGGAGCTTTCCATTTACTTGAGGAAGTGGGGTATAATGGATAGGTGTATAATACATGCACATATTATAAACTTTCACATGGTTGCATGAAATAACATTCCTAAAGATATCCCAAAACCTTAAAAAGTATATTTTTATAATTTTTTTTTTTTTGGGGGGGGGGGGGAGGAGGGAAGCATACTGTGTCAGCTTGTATATAACCCAGCACTGTGCTGGGTTATATTTCATATTAATAACCCCTCTGGTAGATGGCAATGCTAATCTGTCATTGGTTTTGGGGATCATCATCCTCATGGTCCAGTTTTGGGACAAGTCTCTTAAATTAGAAAGACAGTGTTACAGAGCTACAAATTATTGTGAAAAATGCAGGAATGTGGAGATAAACGTATACTGAATGTAAGTACGCTAGAAGTTTGTAAGATTTACCTGTCATCCCAAGCATCCTAGCCAGTGCAAACATTAAACAGTCTTTCATTTTTTCACTTCTGTGACAGGATGATAGCATACAGTCTGCATGGTTACTGTCTATTAGCCTACTAGAGGATGGTAAATTAAAAGTCATTGAGTTCAGATTTAATTTTTGACTAGTCAGATAAAGTATTAAGACAAACAGGACAAACCCTGAAAGTCAAAAAGAGAACAACTTAGGGTAGCAGAAGAGAAACAGGTAAGTGTACTATGTATGTAGTAAATAGTGACCAAATACTGTACTGCATTTGAATGTTGTCCAAACCATTGTATACCCACCGAGGAAACATTGTAATAGTATGGTGGATCAAAGTGCGTGTCCCATGGAAATGCAGTACTAAGTATCTGAAACAATATTGGGTAATGTTTGTTGGCTTCTATGCTACCATGGTAGTACATGTATTTAAACTGACAGCTGGTGCTATGAGCTTTGTCAGTTTTCTTATGTAGGTGCTGGCCAATGGGGAGTTATACAAAGGCCTGTTCACATATTATCTCTTATGCTTGTGATTATATAGTTTGATTGCATAAGCTTTGTCTTAGTTTTGGCCATATTTGTGTTGCATTTTCACTTTTAGCTTGAGCATAGTTTGTCTTTTTCCCCATTTCTCCTATTTATAATCATGATTCTTGCACTTGCTCTTCTCTTGTCTTTGGTATAAACAAACAACTTCCTTTTTTAAATCAGCTTTTATTATTTTCAAATTTATATTTTTCCTTATAATCAGTTGAATGAATTTGTGTCAAATTCAGAAATAAATTTTATTTTCCATTATATCAAAAATTGTACTATTTGGTTACTGACAATGCAGTGGTACCCCAAGTTTCGTACAGCTCCCAACTCGAACAGTTACATAAGTATATTATTATAAGTGCTTTTGTAAGTGTATTTTTGAGGGTCTGAAACGGACTAATCTAATTTACAGTGGAACCTCAAATTTCGAACGTATCGCACATCGAACTCTTCGAAAATCGACTGCTTTTTTCGAACCAGCTTTGTCCCTATTATTGAACTTGCCCCTATTTTCAAACTGCCGGGTACTGGATCTATCCGCCAGCCCGCTCTGTCCGCGTTCCTGTGCAGGCGCCGTGAGCCAGTCTGCCTTTGTTGATGCTTAAGTGAACAATAACCTGCACTCTCATTCAAACATTTTACGATTAATTCATTGTGTTTAGTGCTTGTGGAACTGTGAAATAAGCTACCATGGGCCCAAAGAAACTTGCTAGTGGTACCCCTGTGGTAAAGAAAGTGAGAAACACCATAGATGTGAAGAAATAATACAGAAGGATGAGAGTGGTGTGAATCTTGTTGAGCTTACCAGGATGTATGGGAAAAACAAGTCAACCATCACTTCTATCCTGGCAAAGAAAGAACAAATCAAGGAAGCTGATTTCCCCATTTTAGGGAAATCTTAGAGGCACCAGAAACAGAGGACTGGACAGTTATTTTGTGAGACAGGGGTCCAGTGACTCTCAAGCTGGTCCTAGTGGCATTAACCCTTTGACTGTTTCAGGCCCCTCTCTGAAACTGTCATTCTATGTCGCTCAATTTTTGAAAAAAAAAAAAATTATTTTTTCTTATGAAATGATAGAGAATCTTTTCCCGATGGTAATGACACCAAAAGTTCGAAATTTGGTCGAAAACTCGTGGAATTATGCTCCCGCGAAGTTAGCGGTCTCGGCGACATATGCGTATCGGCGATTTCGCCGACTTTGAGCCCAATTTTCAGCCAATTCCATTGTTCCAGTTGACCAAACTCATAGCTATTTCTTTAGAACTCCATTTTATCTATCAGCTGAGTACAAGAAACCTCCCATTTACTAAATTGGACTACCCAATATGGTGATCAGAAATTGGCAATTTGGCCAATTTCACGCAAAATAAAAAAGATGCCAATTTCAAAATAGGGTCCAGAATAAACAAGGTAGACATTCGTGGCACTAAAATAACATATGCTCTGTTCATTAGTCACATCTCTAGCCCCCTCTTATATTATTATTGCTTTCTATTTTGATTTTTTATTCATACAAAAAAATACAAAATTTACTGTTATACAGACGACTGCATTATTGTAAAAATGGTATAAATAATATCAGTGCACTAGTGAAAGAATATTAGACTCCCCAGTTGACGTGTATTGGACGTGTGGTGTGATTTATTTACTCTTGAACATTGGTAAAAATCGAACATTTCCGCTACTTTGAGCTCAGTTTCAACGTCGTTTTCATCGTAAAAGTAACGAAAATCATCTCCATTTCTGTAACATGTTTTCCATTTTATCACCTAAGACCATGAAAACGCGAATACAACGATAAATACTATACGAAAATACACCTCAAAGTCGGCGTTTTATTCCAAAAAAACGATCAGAGTTTTTTTTTTCTCATTACGCAATGTGTGCTGCAGGATTTTTTTTATGTGGTGCACACTGACCACACAGACCCATTCTCTCACATGTGGGCCTACCAGCTTTCTCCCACTTGATTTGAAGCCGCTAGAATTATTGAGTATATATACGTCAGAAACATTGGCTCGTAAGACGTATTTATACGTCGAAAACAGTCAAAGGGTTAAAAGACAGAAAAGGGAAGTAACCCTAGAGAGGGCTTTGATACCTTAAGTCCTTATGGAGGGGGATTCCCCTTCCAAATACTAACCCCAACTCTCTCTCTCCTCCTCCCTATCTTCCAGATGCCATCAATCTAAAGTAAAGGTAAGTAAAAATGTTATTTTATATGTTTATTTAAATTTATTAATACATAATTGTACACTATATTTGTTGTGCATAAGTAAAACTATAATTAATCTCTATAAAAATGTATTTTTTTGGGGGGGGGGAATATTTTTGGGTTTCTGGATCGGATTAATTGTATTTCCATTATTTCTTGTGGGAAATATTGCTTCGCTTTTCAAACTTTTCGAATTTAGAACTAGCTCCTGGAACTGATTAAGTTCGAAATTTGAGGTTCCATTGTACAGTATTCCTTATGGGAACAAATTTGTTCGGTAACAGCACTCAAACAGCCTTCCGGAATGAATTATAGCCAAAACTTGGGGTACCACTGTAGTATATGTATAAAAAGCAAATTGCACTTAAGGAACAGTAGTAAGAAGTGTTTGGAAAAATACACTTAAAGGATTATTCTAAACTTGTTATAGCTTAACCATGAATTAAAATTAGACTGATTGTCAGTTGAATACTCCTAAAAAAAAAAAAAAAAGCTGACATTACATATATATATTTTTCTTTTTTTCTTTACAGGTGTTTGTGAAAAAAGGGTGGGGCATTACATTAAGTGTGTTTGTCACTTATCAACTTTTGTCGCTCAGCCTGCACATTAAATGGAAGGCTAATCTTAAACAGCTTTGTGTTCGTGCTCTTATCACAACATTCTTTTTCTTCATATGGTGTGTGGTGAGTCACTCGTATTACTTTCTTCTTCTTCTTGCATGTTGTTTTGGTTTGCTGTTATGAATAAAATGCTCTTAAGATAAAGCACAATGAGGAAAATAAAAACAATGAAATATTATAATGATTAAAAAGAACGTTATGTATCCTGATCAATAAAGTGTAATGAAGGCCAAAAATAATTGCCCCTTTGTCAGTTTTAAATTATGTACTGTATAATGTGGTCAAAGGTAAATTCTAAATTTGAGATTGTATATGGAAATAATGATAATTAATGTATACACTGGGTATATTATTTATCATTATACCCTGATATGGGGAAGAAATAAAGCTGGTTTCATTTGTTGAATGTATGAGAAGTTTTGTATATAAAGTACAGTATTCTGTATGAAGGGTATCTTACTAGAACAAGCTTGTAACAGTGCAATCTTTCAGTTTGTTAAGTCATGATCTTAACAGATTGAAACTTTGTCCATATTGTCAGCAGTACATACATTTTTTTTTTCCAACAAACCGGTCATATCCCACCGAGGCAGTGTGACCCAAAAAATAAAGAAACACTTTCACCATCATTCACACACAATCAGTCTTTGCAGAGGCACTCAAATACAACAGTTTACATATCACTCCAAACAGCCAATATCCCAAACCCTTCCTTTAAAGTGTAGGCATTGTACTTTTCATCTTCAGGACTCGTCCGGCTAATAGGTTTCCCTGAATTCCTTCACAAAATATTACCCTGCTCACACTCCAACACCTCGTTAGGTCCCAAAAACCATTCATCTCCATTCACTCCTATCTAACATGCTCACACGTGCCTGCTGCATGTCCAAGTCCCTTGAACACAAAACCTCTCCCCCCCCCCTCCCTCCATCATTTCCTAGGATGACCCTTACCCCTTCTCCCCTCCACTACAGATTTATACACCCTCCAAGTGATCCTATTTTGCTCCATCCTCTCTAAATGACCAAACTACCTCAGCAACCCCACTTCAACCCTTTGAATAATACTTTTAGTAACTCCACACCTCCTCCCAATTTCCACACTATGAATTCTCTGCATAATATTTACACAACACACTGCCCTTACATACAACATCTTTATTGCCTCTAGCCACTTCCTTGCTGCAGTATTTACCACCCTTGCATCATGCCCATATAAGAGTGTTGGTACCACTACACTCTTGTACATTCCCTTCCTTGCCTCCATGGATAACATTTTTTTTGTTTCCACAGATACCCAAATGCACCACTAACCTTTTTTTCCTTCATCGGTTCTATGGTTAACTTCGTCCTTCATAAACTCATCCGCTGAGAAATCTGCTCCCAAATATCTGAACATATTCACTTCTTCCATGCTCCCTCCCTCCAATGTGATATCCAATTTTTCTTTACCTAACTCATTTGATACCCTCATCACCTTACTCTTATCTGTGTTCAGTTTCAACTTTCTTCCTTTTAACACCTCCCAAACTCGTCCACTAACGTTTGCAACACCTCTTTAGAATAACCCTACCATACACTTTACCTGCTATACTCAGTAGTCTTCTTCTCATCTTTTGACAAACCGGCCGTATCCTGCCAAAGCAATGTGGCCCAAAAAGAAAAACGAGTTTCTCTTTTTAACTTTAGTAATGTATGCAGGAGAAGGGGTCACTAGCCCCTTGCTCCTGGCATTTTAATCTCCCCTTATGACACACATGGCTTACAGAGGAAGAATTCTGTATCCACTTTCCCCATGGAGATAAGAGGATATAAACAAGAACAAGAACTAGTAAGAAAATAAAAGAAAATGCAGAGGGGTGTGTATATATATGCTTGTACATGCATGTTTAGTATGAGCTAAGTGTAAGTAGAAGTAGCAAGGTGTACCTGAAATCTTGCATGTTTATGAGACAGAAAAAAGACACCAGCAGTCCTACCATCTTGTAAAACACTTACAGGCTTCCGTTCTACGCTCACTTGGCAGGACGGTAATACTTCCCTGGGCAATTGCTGTTTACCAACTTACTATTACTAAAAAATTTATTTCCCTTTCACTCCGGTGATTTGATCTCACTCCGGTGATTTGAATGATGAGAGGTGTGACTACTAGCAGATGATGTCCCTGAAGTAAGGGGGCATCTATGATTAAGCAGCATTTAGAGAAGTTTACACTTTGCACTACTGGTGTTGGTTTAAGGACAGGGGATGTCAGTATGCAGTATACAAATTCTGGATGGAAAGAGAAAACTCAAGATATGTAAGAGGGACAGAGGGTGATGATTACAAGATTATGTATAGAGTTTTAAATTTGTTCCTGATGTATTAGCATAAGAATGTAAGGAGAGACCCTCTGTGTAGGAACAGTACTATATTCTCTTTATGCAACATAAAACAACTAACTACTGTAATTTTATTCATGACAGGTTATCTTCCAAGAGATAGAAAAATACATGGAGACTTGCACATTAAATGACATGAGAGTGGTATTGACCAAGAGAGAATGTCTTAAGTTAGATGGCCATGTGTATGATTCTTATGATATTTCTGGTCACTCTTACCTTATGACTTACTGTGTTCTCATAATGATGGAAGAAAGCAAAGAAATTCTATACTTCCTTTGCCTTGGAAGAGTTCTGAATGGAGCACCACCACTAAATACATTTGAGAAGATTAGTTGTCCCAAGCTTGAGGAGAAAGAAATCAAGATACTACAATCAAGATTTTCCATAATGTCTCCATTGGTTGTTCTTAGTTTTGTGTGTGTGTGTCTTCTGTGCCTCCTCTGGGATTTTATGTATATTATAACCACCATTTATTACCATACTTTTTCAGAAAAGGTAATTGGCACAATGCTTGCATTGATTATGTGGTATTTACTATATAGACAACTATTTGTATATATTTTTAAATATAAATTTTTCCTTTCTTAGTACATGTATTTAAAAGCATTTTGCCTGTTTTCTATGGCATATCATAAAATATTTAATTTTAAGAACTAGACATAATTGTTTCATATGAAAGGATTTGCTTAATATAGACATTTCTATTTTTTAAATGAAGACAATCATATATACGATGCATGTATTTCCTAAACAAGCCAAGTTCAGAGTATTTATTTTTGTATAACTCGGAACCATTTTCAACATTACAATATTTCATTAATATTAAAAAATAGGAATAACCTACTGTATATTAGATGTAAAAATCATTAAGGCTAGGTTATTTTTCTAAGCCAGTTTTGGTGTACAGTTAAATAATGGCATGTTATTTAAATCATTTGTGTGAATGTACTGTATCAGTATATGAAATCTTTTTTTAATTCTAAAATCCAGATTTTCTTGGTTGGCTGATTTGGCTTATTAGGCAAAACATAGAGAGAAATGGCAGCCTTGATGGGCACAGCACATGACTGGATCAGGGTATTGTAAAGTTATTGAAGTATACATATTTGCAATTTCATTAGGCTACTTCTGAGTTTAGTCCCTGTATTACTATTGTACTGTACTTGATTTTCCGTCTTAGTCTTGTTGCATTTTAAACTCTCTCTCTCCCCCCCTTCCTCACACACACTGTTACACACTCCTACTATCTCTCACACACTTTATACAGTTATTTATTTTCACATCTTGAAGTTTTCCCATGTGTAATGTATTGTGTACTATTATAACCATAATCAAAATTGTTAGTATTTCATATTATATATTTTTGTATCTACTGTATTGAGAAAAGCTGTTAAAAAATTGCATGATTTGAAAATCTTCATATGCAAGAATGCCATTGCTATAAAAACTAACACCACTCTTCAACAAATAAAAATTATATTAGAACATAATGTCTTTAATTTAGTTGTTCACTCATAAAAAATTTTAAATGTTGCTCCATATCACAATTACTATGAAACATAATATATAGTGAAATATAAAATGCCAATACTTTTTTATAAATTCAAATAAAAAAGCCACCCTGCCTTAGCGGGAAATGGCCAACATGTTTAAGACGTATTTAAATAACAAAATGTTGGTTTTTGAATATTTGTTTATTAAGGTTTGTCTATCGTTTGTCTACCTTTATCACATTTACTCAATTATATTACTGCAAATTTGTGGCACATTTTCAACTAACACTCCGTAAAATTCAACTAACATGGTGCCACTTGTGGAGAAAAAAAATTGGAGCACTCAGAGGTGGACCATAGGATTTCAGATCTGTGTTTGTGATTAACTTAGTTGATTCCTGCATACCAGTTAATACATGCAGTGTTTACATATGCTGCTGTATATGATAATTTATGTAGCTGTATATATGCATATTTACCTGAATAAACTGACTGATGTGTTCGACTGGCTGGCCATTTGACTGACTGGCTGGCCTGTCTTTCTCTGGGTCTGTCTCAGAGAGAGAGCCACTCATGGACCTGATAGTCAGCTAGACTTTTGAACAGGTATTACACTTGTTGCAGAATCGTCATATCTGTACAAGTGGAAAGATACAACTGTGGCAAAATGTGTATTACTTGCCACAGTAATGCTTATGCCACATATCTACAAGCACAGTATGTATAGCACAATGTGACTTTTTGGGTTATCCTAGGTAATTTACACTGTATGACACCTGTACTTATGTGTACCTGTGCCTAAATAAACTTAATTAGTCCTTGATTCTGTTTAAGGGATGCCTGACCTTCAAGAAATATACACCAAGCAAACATAATCACTTGAATGACAAAACAAAATTAAGGACAAAGTTTATTTAGGCATAGGTACACAATAAGTACAGTTATCATACATAGTGTAAATTACCTAGGATAACCCAAAAAAGTCAAGTGCTATACTGTGCTTGTAGAAATAAGGTATAAGCATTACTGTAGCAAGTAATACACATTTTGACCAAAGTTGTATATTTCCACTTGTTAAGACATGACGATTCTGCAACGTGTAATACCTGTTCGGCTAGTTTATGATCATTGGTCCGTGTATATGTGTACCATACATGTCTCAGATATGTGCTTGTGATTAATCTAGTTGATTCCTGAATACCAGTCCTAAAAATATCTGCATGGATAACTTCCCATAAACTCTTAATATTGACAAAAAAAATTTACGTGGTGTTTAGGAACAGAGCCGCAAATGTCCAACTAAATTTAACCTATCACGATTGTCCCGTAGATACTGTGGCTTTCGTTAGGTCAGCACCTACCGTTGATTTACCCATGAAACCAGTACTCAAATAAATCTTCATGGATAATTTGGCCTAATAAACTCTATTATATTGCACCACTAAACACAACCTCACATGGTATTGCTGGGGAACTAACAAATGTCCAACTCAATTTAAAACCAGAACCCTTGCAGGTTTTTTCCGTAGATTCTTTAAGTTTACTTGTCGATTTGGTCTCATTTGTAGATATACGATAGACATCATTCACATGAAAAAACTCTTGATGTAAATTTGGCCTAAGATATGCATAGAAACTAGCATCAAAGTAGGAAAAATGTAGCTATTAATAAAACAAATCGAGCCATCACCTGTGTATACACCATGATAAGGGCTAAAAACAAATGCATCGTGAGTTATTTTCGACATATTAAAGCCATTGCATAGTAAAATCTTCTTTGTTTGGATGATTAGTTGCTATTATGTGATATTCTGGATCTCATTTGATTAGAAGCCAGAAGCTATATGTACGAGAAAGTAGGCCGGAATGCTTTGATTGGGGTTTTTCGCAAATTGGAAATGGTTGAATTCTGAGTTAAATGTAGCAAAGTACCAATTTCTGCATTATTGAGTGAAACTGTTGAAACGATTTCTTTCTTTACACTCTAAATACACTGTGAATAGGGTAGTGGTTGATGAATAATGTAATTCCAAAATATCAAATGATGAGATTGTAAATATTGAACATCAAATTCGCGAGAGCATAATTTCGTCATTTTGTCACCAAATTTCTACTTTTGTTTTATTACCTTCACAAAAAGATTTTATGATTCATAAAAAAAATAAAAATAAATTTTTTTTTTAAAATTCTTGGACACTGTTGCGTGACTCAGATTTGGGCCCTGACCCTGAAAGGTAATATCAACGATTTTCCCACTGTTAGACGAATGTGGGAAAAAATCTTAGGTCGACCTTGACCACTTGAAGTTTAATACCACATTAGCACTACATTTCTCCAAACGTACACTACTTCAAAGATCATTACTGTGTACCTCAAACAGCACTACTTATATTGCACTACTCACTATCCAACCTCACCTATCGTATTTGTGCCTGGGGATCTACTACAACAAATCTCCTCAAACCAATAAAATAACAAAACAGAAAGCCGCTGGAAGAACGATTTCTTATTCCAATGCCAGACACACACTACTCTTTGAAAGTTTAAACTTGCTCAATATATAGAGTATGCACTCATTGTTGTGCTTATTGTATATACATAGGACAATCAATTCCAATGTAAACCCTCTAATGAAACTCTTCCTTGATAGCTGCAAAAGAACACTCAGGCAACACAAGACACCAAAACCTCTTTAATATCCCCTCCCGAGTCCGACTCAACCTGTGTAAAACCTCAATGCACCTAAAAGGCCCTAAAACCTCAAATGCCATGCCTGAAGCCTCTAAAGGTTCTCTCTGACAGTCACTTCAAAGCCATTGATTAGTTAAAAAGCATCTCATCTCCTTAGTGTCTGGATGACCCTTGTCGGTTTAGCGCTTTATTTGATACTTGACGTGCTGTTGGAGTGTGAGCAGGGTGGCGTTTGTGAGGGGGTTCGGGGAAACCGGCAGGCCGAACTTGGGTTCTGGAGATGGGGGGTGCGGTGCCTGCGCTCTGAAGGAGGGGTGTTAATGTTGCAGTTTAAAAACTGTAGTGTAAAGCACCCTTCTGGCAAGACAGTGATGGAGTGAATGATGGTGAAAGTTTTTCTTTTTCGGGCCACCCTGCCTTGGTGGGAATCGGCCAGTGTGATAATAAAAAAAAAATATATATATATATGTATATATATATGTATATATATATGTGTATATATATGTGTATGTGCATACATGCATATATACATACATACATACATACATACATACATACATACATACATGTATGTATGTATATCCTAGGTAGTAGGCTGGTAGACAGCAACCGCCCAGGGAGGTACTATCGTCCTGCCAAGTGAGTGTGGAACGAAAGCCTGTAATTGTTTTACATGATGGTAGGATTGCTGGTGTCCTTTTTTCTGTCTCATGAACATGCAAGATTTCAGGTACGTCTTGCTACTTCTACTTACACTTAGGTCACACTACACATACATGTACAAGCACATATATACACACCCCTCTGGGTTTTCTTCTACGCAAATGTTGAGGGAGACCTGTATTTTCTTTCTAGTTCTTATTCTTGTTTATTTCCTCTTATCTCCATGGGGAAGTGGAACAGAATTCTTCCTCCGTAAGCCATGTGTGTTGTAAGAGGCGACTAAAGTGCCGGGAGCAAGGGGCTAGTAACCCCTTCTCCTGTATATATTACTAAATGTAAGAGGAGAAACTTTCGCTTTTTCTTTTGGGCCACCCCACCTCGGTGGGATATGGCTGGTACGTTGAAAAAAAAAATTATAATCTTCGTGTAATCCTGACAGCAATTTGCTGGTTAAACAATACCTGTCCTCATCCACTTACGTTCCTGTTCTTCCAGCCTTCCTTTAAATCCTATATGTAATTGGTAACATATTGTCCCATTATACTTAGATTGTAATTTAAGTAACTTGTAATTTCACTATTGTGCATGGGGTACACAATAAACTAGCCGCTCAGGCGGCACAACTAAAACTAACTGATGAATGGTGCCCCTCCTACAAAGTGCCCAGCATCCCAGAGAGGCAAGTAAATTTAATATTTTTATTATGCACCCTATACCCATCCTGTGGGCGTAAGTCAAAAAGATTACAGAGGTACGTAATGGGTCCAGGGACTGGGCCCCAAAGTGTACCTGGTTAGAGGTACATAATGAGTCCCGGGACTGAGCTGCAAAGTTTTTATAGCTGAATAAGTTACAAATACAATGAACCATTCACACTGTCTGCACCTGATAACAATTGCAATGAATTATTAATGCAAATATTACAGTGAGCAAAGTCAGGGTATTTTTCCAGAACGGTTTGTAATATACCACTGTGGATAAAATACTTTGATATATCTTGTACATCTCAAAGTGAGTTGCCCCTCAAGGAAGGTTCCTTGATGTTGGTGAGGGGCTCTTGAATTAGGGAATTGGATCTGTGCTCCAATTCCCCAAATTAAGCCTGAATGCCTTCCACATCCCCCCCCCAGCCGCTGTATAATCCTCTGGGTTTAGCGCTTCCCCTTTGATTATAATAATAATAATCAAAGTGAGTTGTCTTTGAATTCAATAATTTTATCGCATTCCAGTACATAATGATACAAGGTGTGACAATTGTCCATCTGGCAAAGTTTACATTTCTTTTGGTCTACAGAGACACATGGCTCCTGCATGATAGGGTAATGATAGATGGACTGACTGGTGTCAGTCTCCTTCAGTCTTAAGTTAAAGTTTAGTTGAAGTTCTTTTCGTATTATTGTTCTTAACTGACAATTATTATTATAATCAATGGAAAACGCTAAACCCGTAGGATTATACAGCGCCTGTGGGAAGGGGATGTGGAAGATACTGAGGTTTAATTCAGGGAACTGGAGCACAGATACAATTCCCTGGATCAAGAGCCCCTCACCTGCATCAAGGAACCTTCCTTCAGGGGTATTAACTGACAAACCAAGATTATAATCTACTCTCTCTTTGAAAACATATAACTTAGCCAATCATCA